TGGAGGCCAGAAAAAACTAACATTGGGAAGGAAGGAAAAATTTATAATTATATAAAATACAAACAGAATATGTTCAACGTATGACAACATATCCATTACAGCTCTGCCCAGTCTAAGGAAAAATATAAAGATATAGTTGGAAATTTGAAAACATCATATATGAAACAATACAACTTAAGTGCATCACAACATAGTAAAGATCATATTTTGCAAGTTCACTTCAGGTGATTGTGCATTTCTTATATCATTAAGCTTTTGCCAACTTTGCAACATTTTCTTTCCCTTTTATCTATGGTCAGATGCAAAGTGCTGATTAGAGCATACAACCCTTCAAATTTACACTCATATTTTCCAAAGTTCAAACTCAATGTTAACAGTTAATAATCATCAATCAAAAGCACATTTCTTGTTGAAGGCAGATTATTACAAGATCTAGTTGCACCAGAGAAAAGGTTATGGAATATATGTAATTTTGGCTCTAATAGCAAATGCATCAATTGAATCTGACTCCATTTAACTATATTTGATAATAGCAAAATTACCCCATCAATATCTACTCAAACCATACAACTTGAACATTAAGTAACAAAGGAGAAAAAAGAACCTCATCGGTACAAAGTGATGAAATCTGACGACAAAGCATGTGATAAGATGGACGAAGCAACAATAAAATAAAGCAAAAGATGAAACTATAAGTGCGTTAATTCAGCACAACGAATCAACAAAGAATTAACCACTCAAATAAAGGAAGCTTACATTTGAGAGAGGCGGTGTATTGCTGGTAACATGGAGAATCAGCAATTCTAGCTGCACTAGGGTATGATGGTGTAGCAACTCTGGATGCCATGTTTCTTCCCCTAAATAAATTCCCTACGGAATTCAATGAACTCAGTATATATATAACTTCAAATTCAATAACACGTGCAATAGCAAATTAATAACGACAAAAAAGAAAAAAAAAAGATAAGGAAAGGAAAAATGCAGGTCAAACAATGAAATAGTTCACAGAGACGAGCATTTTCTTCAACATCAAACTTCATGACCCCGGAGACTAGATTATGTAAAACAACCAAAAGCCTATATAACAGTGGATTTATGACCAAGCTTATCATTGAGTTTGCAAGTGCATACCAGAAAACCAAAGCTTAAAAAAGTGAGTTGAGGAATAAATTACCTAGGGTTTCTTAGCGTGAGAAGCAACGAGATTTCTGGTTGTGAAAGAAGAAAATTCGGGAGCGGTTTGAAATTGAGCCGCTATCTTGACGCAAGGAGCAAGAGTTAGATGAGGAAGAAATCGAGCTTCTGAGAAAACCGAAAGGAAGCAGAGACTCGGAGAAGAAAGAGTTGCGGAGGAGGGAAGGAGAAGGCCGAGCACGGGGAACAAAAAAGCCGACCGTACAAGGCCTAGAGCTGTCAAATGACCCGGGGCATATAAAATTGGGCCGCCTAGAACAAATTTGGACCAGCCCAAAATAGGTAACGTTCCATCCAGCAATAAGATTCAAATAAATTCTGCATTTTGTGCGGGTGCTCCTTAAAAAATTTGATTGTGTTATTATTAATTTGTAAGTACTACATATTTATCAAAATTTATAAATTTTTACTTAAAGGAAACTAATTTTTGTTCTAAGATTTAATTACTTATCAAGATTATAGACTAGTTTTCGCTCTACCGACCATCACTACTTGTTTAGATTACAAGTATTTCTGATATTTTTTATAAGATACGAATTTGAGTCAAATTATGCGTAACTTATATATTATTTTTAAGAGATTAACTGTATTGTTATTAATGCAGATCTATAATTAAAATATATTAGTTTTCATCATTAATTTTAATAATCAAAATAAAAAATTATTCACTAAGTACTTTTAAAAAATTCTTTTGAGAAAATAATTATTCTATAAGGATATGCTATAATTTATATTAATTTTAATAATATTTTATTACTAGAGAACCTTTTTATATTTTTAAAATCTTCTTTTCTCCTTTATTGTCACGTTCTAAGGATATGAAAGTATTAATATTGTTTTAAGGATCAAGACAACGTTGGGAACCCTCATGATCAAATAAATCGATTAGCACACTAATATTCTTCATATGGAAACATGAAACGATGAACACATGAATAATGACATATTGAACTTTAATAAAATACATCTTGTATTTTTGCACCACTTCCCACTCCCACTTACCACTATCTATTGCATATAAGATTTTAGTTACAAGATCTTAAATTTTTCCCTCCCACATTTCCTTAACCACAAGATGGTAAGAGGGCTAGTGAAGCCATTTGTTCAAATCTAAATATCTTGTTCTTTTTTCTTAGTTAACATAGTTCATCAGTTAAATGTAATAGGATAGGGGCATTTGTTTTATCTCCATCAAGAACAATAAGGAGGAAAAATATCCTCTAAAGTATTCTAAATATTATAATTCTCTTTGGACCACAATAATTGTGACTGAAGATTTTCATGATTGTCCACAAGGTTGCAAAGCAACCTTCATTATTGATTAATTAATAATAATGCTACATTCTTATTTTACAATTTTTTAAAGTTTTTTATCTAAATTTTATTAGAACAACTGGGGGTAAAATTGTTCAGCTCTATCATCCCACTATTGTGTTTTACTATTTTTTTGGTTTCCATATCATTGTTCTTTGTAGTCCCTAATGCATTCATATCTTTTTTTATTTTTGAGGTTTTTTTATCTCTAGAACCTCGTGTATTATCCTTCTATCTTCTATAAAAAGAGTTTGCGTAACTGAGCCATGTGGTTGAGAATAAGACGATGAATTTTTTTAGTTTTTTTTTTTTTAATCGAGATTAGGTCGTACAGGATAAAGAATCTAGTCTGATCCACTTGCTTCGTGAAAGGGCTTAAATTTGAGTTTTATTCTACCTGTTTTTCAATATTAGTCTCACTAAAAATCACTCATGTTGTTGAGCCCAAAAATCAACCTAATAGTTTTTTTGTTTAAGGTTCATACTATTTCACTAGAGTAGCACACACTCATTTCATTAAAAATTACACATTCTCTACCATCACCCTCATTTTTGTTTATCTTCATAGATTTCAACATTAAATTAGTAGACACATAATCTACATTTACTTGTGTAATGTTTTCTTTTTTCTCACTAGTAATGATCACTCCTTTCATTGTTTCAATTTTTGCCACCTTCATCAAGTTTTTAAAACTTCTAACAACTCAGATAATAATTTAAGATAAAATCCGATCTAAATTAAGGACATCAAAGTTTAATCCCTTGTTGAGAGAAAAATTCATCACATGTATCTAAATTAAATATTTGTTAAAGTGTAGATTAAACTTTATAGGATATGCTTTGATGTGTTTTCATTAGCATGTTATATTATCATCAGTATACGATATACAGGTGACATGAATAGAAATTTAAGCGTATAGAAGTCATGATTTAAGTTATAGGTTGTGCAGCCACGGGGAGTGAGATGATCTTGTGAGAAGCTACAACTTGAGTAGGTATTCATGATTCTATCCAAAGTGACAAATTAAAACAAATCAAATAGGTCTAATAAAAAGAACACATTATTGAGAAGCTTGTGGGAACAATTATCCTAAATTCCTAAGCATGTCCCATAACTTAAAGAATAATTAATTAAATTCTTTTCCTCTTTTAAATATTTTTTCTCTCTTTTTGCTCAATCCCATGTACCAATGAGATCAAAAGCTTCATTTCAATGATTTAAAAAATAAATAAATAGATAAATCACAACATTTGAGAACCCATATGAGCAAATTAATTAAGCACACCCATTTCTTCACGTGGATAATACATATATTTTCTTTTTGCCCAGTTGGAATTTAATAATACATTTGTTCTTCTTCTCCAATACCACGTGACCTCCACTCCTCAAAACAAAACAAAAACAAAAAAATTTTGAAAATGGCAGCCATGCAGCCAAATACTTCGAAGTAAAGTTGGAAGTTAAATAATACATTGTTTGTTCTTGTCCAATAGCACATGATCACCATTCCTCAAAAATAAAACAAAAAATAAAACAAACAAAAAAGAAGAAAAAAACCAAGAAGAAAATGGCAGCCATGCAACCTAAAACTTCGAAGTAAAGTTGAAGTTCGAGCACGTTGTTCCTCTGAACAGCAGAGATGAGCTGAACCCAAGCCTGGATCTTGCTAGATCAAACTGCAAAAGATTATCTTCTATCTGATGCGCCCCAATCACGATTGATGTCCTCGGACTTGACCCGCCATCCACAATCGCCAAGCAAACCACACCGCTACTAACACTAACCATGGAGTTCGCACCAAAAATCCTCCAGAAAACTCCCTTGTTTTGCATTACCAGATCGATTTGCGGCACTGCGAGTCCAGTCCGCGTGCTGCCGAAGCTTGCCGAATTATAGCAGGTCCCAAAAGGCGGCACAGCTGCCACCCGTGGAACCTTTGGCATCTGGTTAGTGAAGGTTTTAGTGACAGCTTTATAGATTGATGTTTCCATGACTGTGTATGGATGGACTGTGCTGATCGTAGTTCCACCATTGCCTTCTTTGTTGATTTTCAAGAGTGATGTGTTTAAAGGGACTCTTTGATTGTTGATGAGAATGGATTTTACCCCGATGAAGTAGTCTGCTGAAGGCTCTTTTTCGAAAGAAGCGGAGGAGGTACTCACAGGGTTGAGGATTAGTGGGATGAAGATCAGAGATTTTGAGAAATCTAGATTAGGGCTTGGGAGAAAACCATAAAGCCCATCACCGAAGAAGACGACACCGGAAGATCTTGAACTAGAAGCCAGACAGATAGCAAATTTTCTGGGAAAACTGAAAGAAGAAGAGAACAATGAACAAGTGAAATTTTTGTTCTTCCAAACCCAGCCATGCCGCTTACACCATTGGCAAGTCCATCAAGCAAAATGTAC